TGAGATGGGGGGGGATAGCTGGAAAAGATTATTTCCCATATCTGTGCCTGTACTTCCAAAAGACTTAGAATCTGTTCTGTCTCCAGATCATGAAGTATGCAGAGCAGAGGATTCCAACATTGAATGAATACTGTGTTGTGTGTGATGAGCAGCATGTCTTCCAGAACGGTTCCATGCTTAAGGTATAGGTTCCTGCCCTGTGACCCTCTTAGCTAAGTCCCCTTCACTCCTCATCTGTCTTTTATTTATTTATTCCCAGGCCTGTGGTAAAAGAAGAATTCTGTCCATGTTCCCTGAAACTCTAAAAATAATTATTTTTCTCAGTTCTGCTTGGAGAGATAAGGATATGATAATATTTTTGAGGATATAGTTCACTTAACATTTGTAGCTCAGTGGTTAGGGCACCAGCCACATACCCTGGGGCTGATGGGTTCTAACCTGGCCCAGGCCTGCTAAACAACAATGACAACTACAAGAAAAAATAGCTGGGCATTGTGGTGGGCGCCCTTAGTCCCAGCTACTTGGGAGACTGAGGCAAGAGAATGGCTTAAGCCAAGAGTTTGAGGTTGCTGTGAACTGTCATGCCATGGCACTCTACCGAGAGCGACATAGTAAGACTTTCTCTCAAAAAAAAAAAAAATGGGGATCAGATATTGGTGAAGATGATTGGCTATGATGCTGTCCTCAGGAACTCCAAGTCTAGTCTGTCTTATAGGTAAGATAGTCACTTCACTATAAATCACAGTACGTTAAGCGTATAGAAGAGGTAGGACCAATGTTGTGGAATCTCAGAAGGGCATCTGACTACCTAGGAAGAGCAGGGAAGGCTTCATAGAGGTGACATTTGTAATTTAGGTCTTACTGATAGTTTTCTCTGGACATAGAGGGCTTCAAATTATGACCTTGTTCTAGAGTTGTTTAAGGTCAGGGCTGCCCCTTTCTCCCTGTGCCTTCTTATTGCACACACCATACCACCACCATCTGTTTACTATGTCCATTCAGCCAGCTGTCTGTACTCGTGAACTGTGTGTCTTCTCCTTCTACACACTGGGCGTCATGTCTGGAGCTGCAGAAGAGGTGGCTACTGGAGCAGAGGTATGGGAGAGGGAGAAGCGGCTGGGGAATTGGGTTCAAGAAAGTCAGGGGAACCCAGCAATTTCACTCCTTGGAGTTTCACCTCCAAGAACGCTTTCACTTATAAGGATATTTTGTATTATGGTATTATTTGTAAAATAAAAATGGGTATATCCCCATCTATAAATGGTCTAGTTAAAGAAATTACAATATGTCCTTACAGCTATTATCTTGGATAGAAAATTGTAATGTTAGAGGTCTATGGAAAAAAAAACCAATAGTATATGAAGTAAAATTGCCTATATAAGAAAATAACTATTTCCATAGGAAAAATACCCTGAAGGTTATACTGTGAGGAATGGGATTTGCTTGGGGGGCAAGGGTATGATTTTTATCTTTTCTTTAATCGCTTTAGTATTATTTAAGTATTTATGAGCTTATATTTTCTAATTAAAAAGCCATAAATACATTTGCTTTTTTAAAGAACAGCAGGGAGAAATGCTGGGTCTTAACATGACTCCCAGTCAGAGAAGTCATTTAACTTTTGTCCTCCTTTTTTCCTTTCCCCTAAGGTGGTGGATCTGCTGGTGGCCATGTGTAGGGCAGCTCTGGAGTCCCCTAGAAAGAGCATTATCTTTGAGCCTTATCCCTCCGTGGTGGACCCCACAGATCCCAAGACTCTGGCCTTTAATCCTAAGGTATAAATTACTTGGTAAGAAAGTCAGGGATAAGGAACCAAAATGGTAAAAGGTAGTGGGAAACTATGGGCTGTCATTCCAGTATACACACACTTTGGAATAAGAACACAAAAAAAGGGAATATCGATTTCTTGGAAACCCTTAAACCCAAGGATTTAGCTGTTTCAATGAGTATAGTTGAGTTTGTCACAGGAGGGGGAAAAGAATTAATAGTGGTTACATGAAGCCAGACAGACATGGGTTTCCATTTGAGATTCTGCGGCTCCCTAGTTGAATGGTGTTAGTCAAGTCACTTAACCTTTGTGAACGTCTCCAATTTCCTAATCTGTAAAAAGTGATAATATTTGTTTTGCAGATTGTTACGAAAATGAGGGCTAGTATATGTTAAGAACTGTATTAGATTTCTCCAGATTAACAGAATCAATAGAGGAGATATATATACATGTACATATACATATATATGTAGAGAGAGAGAGAGAGAGACAGTGTGCGTGTGAGTGAGAGAGAAAGAAAGATTTATTATAAGAAAATACCTCAATATGATTATGGAGGATGACAAGTCCCACCATCTACAGTTACCAAGCTGCAGGCCCAGGAGAGCCTGGTATAGTTTCAGTCCTGGTCTGAAGGACTATAAACCAGGAGAGCCAGTGGTGTAAGTTCTAGTGTGAAAACTGGCAGGCTCAAGACCCAAGACCAGCCAGATTTTTAGTTCTGATATGAACACAAGAAAAGACTGGTAATCCAACTCAAATGGACAGGAAGGAGAAGTACCCTCTTACTCAAGGGAAGGGGGTTCATCCTTTTCATATTCAGGTCATCATTTGATTGGATGGGGCCCTTCCACTTTGGAGGACACTCTGCTTTTCTCAGTCTATTGATTCAAATGTTAATCTTTTTTTTTTTTTTTTTTTTTT